GAGGCCTGGCTCAGACCTCAGAGAGCGCTGGACAGTAGCCGTTCCAACTGGAAGTACCTGTTGGGGCCACCACAGTCTGCTCTGGGGTTGTCAGCGCTCTGGGTACGTGCAGATGTAGCTCAGCACCTGCAGGCACAAGCTCGGGCTGGAACTGGTAGGGCTGCCTCAGCCGGGCCCTCTACCCAGGCAGGATTTGGCCAGAGAGGCTGCAACTCTACGGTGAGTCGGCGCCGCTGCCCAGCGCTCTGCAGGCACGCTGGTTCGCTCAGGCGGAGCGCCTGCGGCACGCCGTAAACACACACCGCCCTGTGTATTCCTCCTACTCCTCTTCGTTCATCTATTTCCCCTGCATTTTTTGAATAGTTTGCTTTTCTCATGCTCCTGTTACAAAAAACAGTCAACTACAGCAATAGCTGCAGAGGCTACGAGGAGGTCTCTGCTGGTATCAGAGCACACATCAGGAGTAACACAGCCACCCTACCATAATTTCTTTCCATCTCTTGCACTCAGCAGCAATCTGAGGCATCTCAAGACAGTTAAACTCTGACCAGATCCATGAATGTCAGCAAGGCCTGAAAACCTTCGCTGTCACCCACCAACTGCCAGTGGCTGCCTTGCAAAATAAAAGATAAATTGGAAATAATTATCCTTGACATCATAGTACATGAAATTCTTACTTCCGTGGGTTTTATTCTCTCTACAAAACATGTGTGTATATATATAAAAATACCTGATATGTCCCCAGTCCACTCCTTCAAAAAAAGGATGACTCTTTATTTCCTCTACTCCATTGCTACCAATTCTATTTTCCGAGTCGATGCAAAACCTGACAAAGAGAAAAAAATAAAGGGAATGTTACAACAAATGCAGACAGAAGCAACAAAACTGCTGTGGTATCCCCGCTATCAGGAATTTGGGGAAGTTCCTTTCAACCTGTTCCATCACTTGGGGGAACACAAAAGCAGCCCGCTGCATCTAGGAGAGAGGGGAAACAGCAGAAACAGAACACCACTAGAGTTCCAAAACACAAAAAGCTATGATGACAGTAACTTCCAGTAGCTGTTCTTCAAGGTTTGTGAAAAGCTGGTGCAAGGTCTAGCCCGGTAAGATGACTTTGGCAGGGAGGTTTAAATCCCTGCCCCTGAAAACTCCTCTGCGTGGTCCAAAACATGGATTTTTAACTAGCTGAAAGTCAGACTAACAGGAACAGAAACACTCAGTGAAACAGGGCTACTCTCTGATGTCCCATTTTGGAACTAAAATGAGCCAGGCACTTTCAAAACATGCTGAGTCCCCATTCTCCCTGTCCCCCCCTCTCCTTAGAGGTCCAGCTGCCGGTGGTACAAAGACCCAAGGCCTGTTTCTGCTACGGCCCAGCTGCATAACCTCAGCTCAGGCTCCCGGAGGAATTGTCAGCTCATAAGATGCAGCTGCCAGAAAGTCCCTGGAGTCAAGTGAGAAGGAAAAGGTGAAATTGGAGACAGATTGTTGGGATGGGGACTGTTACCTCCTCAAGGGGTGGCAGGAAAAACATCAACAAGGAAAAATATAAAAGCCTGGAGAAAAATAAATAGGGAGGTGGAAACTCTGACAGCAACTCCGTGACATCAGGGATTTGTCCAGGGAGCAGCAGAGGCTGAACCTTCTTCCCTGGACCAATGCCTAGCTGGCTGGAAACGGCTCTGAGGTATCTCACCAAGGAGATGGTAGCACACCCGGTGCTCAGCCCAGGACTTTGACACATCCCAGCTACCTTTTGTACGTGTTAGCAGAAAGAACTGCTTTGTATTTTTACACTGTCCCTGTGGTCTCTTTGAGGATGGCAAAAGGTGTTTTAACAGTGACACAAAGAGGGAGGTTTACAGCAACAGGAAAACACACCCATGCAGAACAAAAAGCTTGGTCCTGCCAAGTGTGGAGTCACCTGACGGCCTCCTGGAAATGGGGAGTACTTGGTAGCAGGGGGATGCGGGCCTCCCGCTGCTCTAAAAGGAAGCTGGTTTTGTTAAAGGGAATTCTGTTTGCCTGGCTGAGCAAAGCCTCTGGCTGTTGGTTTAGTTATCCTGAAATCATCTCTCCACAGGATCACATCATCCAGACCGGTGAGACACTGTTCAAATCCATACGCTGCACTACAAAAAAAGGTCACCTTCCCTCTAGTTAGCAAAGTTTTCAGCAGGTAATGTAGTAACCTAGTTAGTTAGGCTATAAACTGTCGCCAATTATAGACTGCAACGTTCTTTTACTTGTAGCTGAGTGTCACTTGGGGGAAAAAAACCCTGCTTATATTTCTACTGCGGCCCAGCCAGTTGGCTGATGCCAAGTACTAATGATAGACCTCAAACCTCGTAACAACAGTTAGCCAGAACAGGTCTTGGGATTTGTCAAGGCTTTGTGGGAACTTGATCTTATTTTAGTTTGGTTTTATCTGTATCCATAAAAATACAGAAACATTAGCTTTGTCTGCAACTTCCTTTAAGCTGAAACACGTTGTCTCACTTCTCCGAGCTGTAGCGGACAACGTACCCAATGGCCAGGTGTTTGTTGCCCAACCTGACCTTCTGACCTCGTTGTAGTAAACTCTCTATAGCTAGAGATGTTCTAGCCTAATTTAAATCCTTTCATACATATATGGGGAAGAACTAATCGATTCAAGTAGTCATTGCATTGGTAAATTCACGAGCAAGACACATTCATAAGCAAACTGCCTAATATATCTAAAAAATGCCCCAAACACAGCCAAGACCAAGGAGGAAGAAATCCTCAGCAGCAACAAAAAAAACTCAGGAGGCTGCCAACATGCAGGAGAGGTCAAGCAGAACATTAGACACAGATGCTGAGAACGTAATAAAATTGTTATACGCAAACTTATTAGTGAGGATTAGCTATAATTAAATGATTTGAACTGCTGGTCTCACTGTAAGTGCATTAACAAATACAACAGTTATTGTTATGTTTGTTGTATGATACTGGAGCACTGCTTGGACTAATAATAAAGTCTAGTTCTTGGCTCTGCACATGAAGTTCATTCCCCTTTTTGCCTGTAAAAAGGCTGTGTAAGCTCCTAATATTATCCGGGGGGGCTGGTAGGGGGAAATAAAAACCAAAATGTCCCCTCCAGGCCCACTTGAGCCCCCCCACCAGGACAAGGGAGCATTTCTGCCTGCAACAAGGCTATGTAAGCTCCTAATATTATCCTGGGGGGCTGGTAGGGGGGAATCAAAGCCAAAAATGTCCCCTCTGGGCCCACTTCAGCCCCCCCCCTCCCCCCAGGACAAGGGAGCATTTCTGCCTGACCCTGACACCAAAACCCCTCACACAAACTTCAGTGCAAACTGAATGATTAAAAACTGTCATTTTGGAAAAAGCGAGTAAAATCCAAAGCCTCCAGAGCAGTTGTATTTTCTAGGTCACTCTGAGAAGAGGCCAATTGTTTTCATTGCTTTTGCCTTCTTTTTTTTCAATCTGCTCTGTTCCTCCTGACACCGTGGTACAAACCAAACAGCTTATTCCTCCATGTTAAACAAATGGCAAAGGGAAAAAGGCTAAAAAGCAACAACAAAATCCATCAAGGATGGCACCAAAGAAGAAACCAACTTCCCCTCCTATCTAAAGCTTCCCACATGCAGAACAGAAGGTTATCCTAATGGAAGATGACCACCCAGGTGAGAGGCCAGGAGCAGCCTTTTCCTACTGACCTTAGAATTAAATCCTTTGCTTTCTCTGAAATGGGCACCTCCGGGGGAAAAACCAACGTTTCTTTCCAGTTCATAACTTTCCTGTAAGTCTCTTGCGGCGTTTCTGAGCAGAACGGTGGATACCCTGCACAAGCAAATAGACAAATTAACAAGCTTTCCCCCCCAAAAAAGTGACCCGGGCCTCTGCTTCTGCCACTAAGGCTAACAAGTACTGCCAGCCAGAAGTTCTCTTTTCGTAATGCAACATTCAAGGTTGTTTGGTTACATCCAAGTAACGAGACTGAACCTCAGAAACATTTAACACTTCACAATCATTCACTGAAACAACTAACTGAGGCCTGAGGCCTAACCCTAACCCATCTCTTGCTGCCTTCTGGGAAAGGTGGGAGGACTTTTCGGGAAGCTAAATTTTGGGCTGACTTCAGGTAGAATAAGTGAAGGGTTGGTACCTCCCCCACTGTGCAGGGGATCAGATGGGGTGAGCTAATGGACCCCGTTAGCTTTGAACGATTAAGTTGGGGTCTTTAACATACCTATTAGCATTTCATACATAATCACTCCCAGAGACCACCAGTCACACAGCTTGTTGTACCCCGTCTGCATAAATACTTCTGGTGCAATATAGTCTGGGGTTCCAACGGTAGAATATGCCTGGGGAAAAAAAAGAATCAACTCTTTAAAAGGTAAATACTATGTTTTTACACTTTGCAATACCTTTTCCTGGGGATTCGCATACAGGATCTTGTTATTTGGATGGACAAGAAAACTTCACGTGAGAATTCACAGTATCTAAAATCCCAAGAACATTACACGAGGAAGCACAGAGAACCTCAAAAGTGAATGGAAATCATTCCCCTAAGTGTGACAACATCACAGAATACCCCCACTGCACTACCACAAGGTCACCTCAGTTTCAGGCAGACGCATTGCTAAAAATACCCAAGAAGTTCTGTTGTTTTTTTGAAACAACCAAACAAACCAAAAACCCCAACTGTAACAACAAGGGATAACCAGTGGTAGAGTCCCACGTGTGACACTCGTGATACAGCAGCTGTTTCACGTAACCTTGTCTTCATTGCAAAATTAATTTCAGCTCTTCCTGGACACAGGCTCCATCCTTTTAACCTTCAAAGCGTGCAGCCTAGACGATTCTGTCTAATGGCTAAGTCTTGAGTTACTTGGGAATTTCTCTTTACCAATGGAAAATTTTGCATGGGGGAGAGAGGTGGACAGTGAACCAAAACCCAACAAAACCCCACAAAACCAATTAAGTCCACCAAAGCCAGTTTTGCCAGAAAAATCTTGCACTTTCATTTGTCTCACCGGAAGCAAAACACTTTGTGTCATTAGGGCTGAGACATTTAGTGTGGACCCAATGGAAAACCAAGACACGGCTCCTTTCCAATAGTGTTGATCCAAGCTGTCATTTTGGCCTTCTATTCCCTTTGTTGGACTGTCCTGCTATTCGTCCAGCTTCGGCACACGGTGCCGCCACGTCAGTCTTTACTGACCTGGAGATGAACTCTTTTCAGGGATTTAACTCCAAGCAGGAGTAAGGATGTGAAACACAGCCCCTGTGGGGCAGCAGGATTGCGATGTCATCTCATCATGTCTCACGAGGAAAGAAAAAACAACCCAAAAGGTTTTGGGGAATACAACTGTATATCACTTTTTCAACAGAGCATGCAGAAGTTCCATAATCTGAGAACTGAGGCTTTTGCAACTGCTAGTTGGTGAAATTCATGAGCAGGGCTGAAACTTTGAAGTCCCACAGCTGACAGATACTGTCCTCAGGTGTGATTAATGCCAGAGCTCCCTTTATTACTTATTATTTGTGAGAGCAGCTTCGTGGTATTTTGCTAGCCGGAGTTAAACCACGACACCAGTCTTCATTATAAACCCAGGCTGCAGCACTCCAGTGCCAATACCCTCCATTGCCTTTCCATCATATTCCTATTCAGCAGAAGGGCAAAACAAGTTCTTCCTACAATTCCCTGAAAAAGAAGCAGGCAGCTACGCATCTTCAGCCTGGAGACAAGGAGGCTCCGGGGAGACCTTAGAGCACCTTCCAGTGCCTGAAGGGGCTACAAGGAAGCTGGGGGGGACTTTTTACAAGGGCCTGTAGTGACAGGACAAGGGGTAACGGGTTTAAATTGACAGTGGGGAGGTTTAGATTGGATATCAGGAAGAAGTTCTTCCCGCAGAGGGTGGGGAGGCACTGGGACAGGTTGCCCAGCGAAGCTGTGGATGCCCCATCCCTGGAAGTGTCCAAGGCCAGGCTGGATGAGGCTTGGAGCAACCTGGTCTAGTGGAAGGTGTCCCTGCCCATGGCAGGGGGGTTGGAACTGGATGGTCTTTAAGGTCCCTTCCAACCCAAACCGTTCTGTGATTCTTGCGACACTGAACTGCAGGAATTAAACCCCAGGGCTCTGCACACAGCACCAACACTGTGTCAGCTGAGGAGACAAACCTGAGTTACAGCTTTGCTAAGGGGTCGCTGACACCCGGGGCTGCTTAGCCCAGATGCTCATAAGGGGAAGGAAGGCGCAGAGAAGAACGGGGTCTTGCCAGTCACAGCTCTGAAAACAGACACACAAAGCAACCCTGATCCCCGAGATCCCACAGCAGGGTCACCACACCACATTCTCTAGAATTATTTGCGATTTTGGGAGCTTGAAGAGAGTGACATCTGTAACAGATGAGGGCCTTTCAGTTTCAAAACAGCAGTGCTAATGCTGAGTTTTTATTTAACGTTTTCTGTAACTAGTTTAAAAGCAAAGAAATGAAACATAATTTATTAGCTCACCAGCTGTCGCCTGTTCTTCTTCCATGTTTCTGCTTTTCTCTTGGAGTTCATGTTCTGAAATGCTAATTTACAAAACAGTTATTAGATAATAAACACATTTGTGAGAATTACAAGATTGAGAACATCCCGTTTTCAAAGAATAACTATTTCTTTTCTTTAGAATGCTTTAGTCTAGAAACAAATACTTGATTATATCTGGAGGCAGGAAAATGACGAGTGAGAGCTGTCCAATATGCAGCTGAACCTTATGCAAGTAGGGGACACAACCAGCAATTCTAAATTAGAACTTGTTAAAAGTTTCAGATGGATCTGAGATCAGCAGCACTTATTGCAGCTGGCAACATATATTCAGAGATGGGGGATGCGTTTTAAGCCAGAAGTGAAGAACCCAAGAAAAAACACAGAGGAATTTTAGATTTGTAGAAAAAACACCCTCATGTGGATGTGGCACCAAGGCCACTTTTTCTTATGAAAAGCTTCATGAGATTGTCACTGACCTCAGTAAGTAGGGACATGAAACCCACATCCCTTCCAAAAGAGCATTTCTGTAACTTCACCAACGCGGTTGTGAAAAATACATTAAAACAGATACATCATATTATGCCCATCTGTGTACGAACGTGCAATAACACCCCGTGAGAAGTGCAGAAATCATAACTCCTTTCCTGTGAAATGCTTCCATGTCCCAGGGAACATATATTTCCAGTTTTCCAATTAAATGCAATCAGCCTGACCAATCTTGCTTATCCCAGCAGAAATAAATCCCCATGTGGCACAGCTGCAACTCAAAACTACTGCAGTGTTGAACTAGGACACCTTATACTTACAGAAGTCGCTTGGCGGGTTGTGTGTAAGGTTCCTGTAGAATTCTGTTCTGTGAGCTTTCTTTAGGCCTGTACATAGCCCAAAATCAGACAGTTTCACATGACCCTAAAAAAAAAAAAAGAGAAGTCAGAGAAGGTGAAAACAGTTTGGAAAGGTAGTGCGTGAAAGAGAAAGCTTGAAGCACAGGCCTTCTCAGGCCACGATGGACCTGCACAGGACTACCTAAACCCTGGGCAAGGAGGCAAATAATGACTGAATCTTGGTGCACTTCGAAAGTGCGTTTTCCCTCAAACCGGCTACTGCCCCCTGGGAACCATTCTGCAACAGCTGAGGGCAGCTAGTTGACCTGGTTTTGTTTTTAACTGGATACCACCAAGACTGAGAAAGCCTCCAGAACAAAACCCCTTTGTTCTGATTCGATGGTAACCTGACTTTAATTCAGGTTTCGAGACATCAGCGTTAGACAGTCTACAGACTTGTGAACGATGCTTACGGGATCCGTTTTATCGCTCGCTACAGTCAGTCTGACATCGTGTTTCTGCTGGTGAGTGGGCAGTAAAACAAAAAGATCACTGTAGGAACTGAAGGGATTATTTAGCATTGTCTGTATGTTGTATGCTTTCATTCATCATTAAGTAATTAAGCATATCAGTTTTTAATGTGTACAAATATGAGCATCTGGACACCCCAAGAGTGTCAAAAAGCTTGCCTTAAATGCGTTAAAAGGCTTTCCAACAAACCACTAGGGTGGTTCTGCTTCATTTAAGTACATTGGTGTTCTACAAGAAACAGCTAGCGACCATTTGCTGCCTTTACTCAAGCCATTTCAAGTCACTGGGGTGGCACCGCTGGCTCCCACCGATGAGCACCGTCCCGCCGTTCAGTGACGAGTGG